GTGCTGCCAAGGAAAAGCCAGCCAAAAGGAATGAGAAATTCTAATGAGAGAGACCCAACACATAACAAAATAAAGGTCTGCGACTCTTCTGGGATATGGCATTACTAAAATACTCAACAGACAAATCACTGTGTTGCTGCTTTTTACCAAGAGCACTTGGTAAAAAAAATACCCATAGGTATTTTTGGAGCCATTAAATTAATCATATTATCTTATTTACACCTTATTTGGCAGTCTAGTTTCTCCTGTTCACATCATAGTTTAGTCTGAGCTGGCTTCTTTCCATCATTCATGGCCATCAACAGCAGGTTTCCAGGTCCACCATAACCAGAAATCAGTTTTCCTGAGAAATTCAACGCTACAAGCAAAGCATTATGTAAAACTTTACCTTCAGGTTATCCATACCCGAGGTTACAGACTCTGCCGTGGCAGACAGGCATCAAGATAGATATTTACAAAGCTATGTGATTAGGTGAACCTAATGAAAAAGTTGTGTATATCCCAGGCAATATAACATGACAACCTTAAGATCGCATTCCCTTTATCTATTTATTTTTAGAGAAAGTCAGGGCTAAGACCTAATCTCAAATACACTGCTGTAAATCCAGTCATGTCAATAGCCTACAAAGTTCGAGTGGTTCAGTACAATCAGGATCAGTCCTGAAATGCTAAATTCCCCCTAAAAACAACATATGCATATGTGTGTGTGTGTTTTTGAATGCGTGTCTTACTTATGTATACATATGTATACACACACGGTTTGTGTATTTTTAGGTATAATTTCAGGGTTGGCACTGGAAAAATTGGACCTTTGCATCAGACAGCACTTTCAGAGTTTGATTTCATTTCAGATGTGGTATGCAGAGTTGTAACAAGTTCCTCATTGAAGTTATTCATCTATCCATATATTTATGTGGCCATCATCATTATATTATTTGAAAGTCCCAATGGATGAGCTATTAAATTGCCACTTGGGCTACCCAAGAATGTTTTATTCATTTACTGAATTCCTTTCTTCTGGAATATTTGTTTTTAAGAGCTCGTAATACATACATACTCAACGCACAGGAAATGTAATGCGATAGGTTACAGAAACAAAGTACAAAGCAACCCACCATAAACTAAGAGGCATTTCTTTAAAGGCACTTCTTGTCAAAAAAATGTTATGGTTTCAAGTAAAGAGAAAGGTTGTGATTACTTTTGCTTGATTTTGAAATGTTTGGGCAGGAGCTACTTAAAAAAAATAAATTTCCCTGGTACTGCTCAACATGGTTAATCTGAAGAAAAGAAACACCTCTAAAAAGATCAGAGACTAAAGAAAAAAACTCCTTCTAACTACCCAAGAAGGTGACAAGATAATACAAAGAGGAATTCAGCATCTTTTCCTTCTAGCTCACACTAAATACTCTGGCCTTGAGGTGGGAATGAAGGAATGGAGAAATAGAATGGTGTGTCTTGATTTTTAATACTCTCTAAAATAGACTTGAACATCATGGAGTTCATCATTCCACATTCAGTTCTTCACTCCACTCCACTTTCCTTCACTCCTTGAACAAAGATTAACTATGTGACCCTGCAGAACAGCTGCAGGGACCTGTAGGTGGCTGGTGCTCCTTAGAGGAATAGTGAGTGGTATGAGCATTGTTCCTTTTTCTCATCTTGGCTCTGGCAACCTCCAGTCTGGGCTGCATCCAAACATAACACCCCACCAGACTGAGAAGGAAGACTCAAGTCCCAGGAACTGCCAGGATTCCTGCACAGCAAAATCGTGGCTCTAATTCAACGTGCAGATATGAAACAAGTACTGTGTGATCCTTTGTTTGATTCGCTCTCCCAAGGCTAATTCTTCTAATCCCAAAGATCTCCACACCATAAAATACTTGAAAAAGAAAACAATGCATG